AGTAAAATTTTTCTGCTCAATATGTTAACGTGGAAATCACTGCAGTGAAGTCTCTCACACTGGGAAGCAACCCAGAAATGTACCTTCACAAAGTAAAGGAGTCCAGTTTCTAGGTTTAGACACCATCAGAGCATAAAATGCCAAACGATGTGTTGAAGGGCTCATCACCGACTAACGATCAGAAATTTCAATTGAAGATTTTCCTACCTGGACTACATTTCCAGGATCCGGATGCTGTGGGGTGACTTCCGGTTCCTGAAACATTTGGTCGAATTTCAATTTGAACTGACAACAGAAGATCATGTTCAATTTCTGCTTGTACCACAACAAACGCCTCCTGCACTGATTTCCATGCACGCCTCCTAGATTGGTTTTGCCCTGGGTAATCGAGGGCAGCAAGTTTTGTTTCTGTCAAAAATGTGCTGATTGTGGTTCATCAAATCTTGTTCATGACTTGAACGTTAGGTGTAAAGGCCCGGTTACCACGCGTGCGGTCCTGGAAGCAAATTCGCATCAGCTTCTGCTCAGGCCTCTCTGCTCCGTGGACGGTACCAATGTACCATAGCCCGGAAGAAAGAAGGCTAAGGCCGATCGACTCTTCTTTCCTCCAGGGATTGTGAATAAGTACGTCCACGGAGCAGAGGAGGCCTGGTTAGCACAGGTGGAGCCCGATCCGGAGTTCTTGGGTGAAAACAGTGGCCTGTGGATGAGCAAGCCCGCGGAAGCCACTGCATAGGTCAGTTACGTTCAAAAGACTTCTTCGAATTTGTATAGAAGTAGAATGGAGGTGGCATCCCTAAAAGAGATCGATCAACGGCGAAAGCTTTATCCTTTCACCGCTTGGAATATAAGGCCCCATTCCCTGATATGTGAGGGGCGCTTTCATCCTGAAGAGCTGGACTGTCTCAGGTGGTGGCGGGAAGCGGCTGTTGATTCATGCGTTTAATTTCACCGTAGTTCTACTGGTAGTTGGCTGCATGTTGCTCGATAAAATGCAGTCGGGTATTTTTGAAAATATTCAAAGATCAATCAGAATAGAGCAGGCAAAGAAAAGGTAGAAGTTGCCAGCGCTGTGACCAGATAGGTTTCCGTGAGCGTTGTGGCATATGCGCGCCTCTAGGAGTTGCCAAGCGGGCGCCTTACCGCAGGTAGTAAAGGTACCGAGATTAGGTTCCCCTCTACTCTCGATGTTCAGTGTGTTAGAGCTGTAAGACAAACAGCACACTAC